CGAAATATTTGTGCTTTTTTCGTTCCCGTACACTTCTGTAGCTGTTCCTCTTTTACTCTCATTTGAGAGAGTAATATTGTAGTTTGACAGTCCCACAGATTTTGTGCGAAGAATATTGGAACAAACTATCTATTTTCTACATCCCCCAGACAGCCGGTTCTACGTACCGGAATGACTAGGGTTTTACCCGACCAAGGGCTGTTGTTTCGGCGACCTAACCCCGCTTAGATCGGCGATACCCTTCAATAATTGTTCGTCCATAGAGCAACTTCTTGCAGCGGGATTGCTCCGCATCCTTCTTCTCCTGGCGGGTGTTGAGCCCAACCCCGGACCAGAAACGTCCGCTGTGTTTGCCAGAATCGACTCCATCCAAACTCCACTTCGGTTAGGTGCAATTCATGCAACGGATGGAGTCACCTAAGAACCTGCTCTGGTCTTAGGTCTCATCGGGACCACAAGCTATGTGGCTCCCTGCTGCTCAAGCCAAACGGCACAACCAGCAGCAAACCTCCCTACAGGCGTACCTGTACCTGCGCCAGCTCTGTTGCCGGCCAACGCTGGTAGCCATCAATCCGCCAAAAATATTAAAAATTAAAATGAATACGTCTTCTCGTTATAAAATGCGCGTAAAGAGTGACGCTAATTTATTTTTTAAGTTCAATATTAAACCTAGCTGCTATTGTTCAATACAACAGAGTTGCATTTTGAATATCGTAAGTTTATATATGTAATAGGGCGGATTCATATTAGGTAATTTTGTAGGGTTGCAAATTTGTATGCTTGATCGCATTACATCACCCTCCTTGGAAAGAAGAATTTGGCAAGGTGACCAATTTTGCCATATTCTTCTTACCCCTAATGGATACTAAAAACTTTAAATTGTTTTGAAGGAACGACTTTGAAAGAGCGTAAGGAGTATTCTTTCCCGTTACATACGTTCGTTCACAACAATTTAGTTATGCAACATTTTAATTAAAATCTAGTGTATATACTTAGTTATTACTACTAAATTTAATTATTAATAAGTATCTATCAAATTTACATATATATAGCTTATGTTGTATGATAAATAACTGCAGCTCATGAGTATATTTCATAAAATGTAAACAATTACATATTAATTGACTATGTCAAAATGGAAATAAATTTTTTGTTATAAATTCATTTCAAAATTATTTTCTTATAGAAAACTTTAGTTTGAAAAATTTGCAATTCAGCTTATAAAACATCGATGTGTGTTTTACTTTGTTGTTGTTGTTGTTGTTGTAGCGGCTACAACAACCCCGCCCAGATCGGTTGATATGTCAGTCGTTGTCAAGTTCCACTAACGGCAGCCCTAGGAAGCGTGCAGCCTCTATCGGATCGGTCCGCAAGGACAAAGCCGTTAGGGTTGTCGGATTTTCCGGGCATGCGAAGAGATGTTTCGAGTCATGTGGGGTCTCTCCGCTCTCTACTTAGGTAGGAGTTTAACCTGCTGCAGTAGCCAGAGCGAAGTTGGGCTATTGTTGTTCCTGTCTCCCGAGGCAGATGAAGCTCCGTCTCGTCTATGTCCGGTGGTGGTGTGCATTCGAACGGTGAACGGCATTCACAGGTCTAGAGTCTACATAACTCGAGACTGACTCCCTGTGAATGTCGTTCAGGGCCAGTCAGGCTGACGGGTCCAGAGATTGCTTGATGAACCTCTGGACCTCGTCCGTCAGTTCATATTACTTAGTTAGTATTTGGTTTTGCTTATATGTATAAAAGACTTATGCATATATGTACGTATGTGTACAACTTTTTGAACATTTTGTTTGAATATAATTCAAAATTTGATTCTAAACATTTTAATGCAATAAAAAGTTTTAATTAATTTACTTTATGTATTCGGTTTTTTCTTGTTTTCTGATTTTATCGAAAATTGTTACGTTGACTCCGTCAACATTTGTTATGACGTATGGACCTTCATATATGTTTGTATGTTTATCGCGTGGTCCCTTTTGAACTAAGACTGTATCATTTAAATTAACTATTAACGGACGCGTGGTCTTGTTATATACCGTTTGGTTCCGAATTTTGTGTTTGTTAATTAGTTCTTTCGCAAGCGCGTGTGATTTTTGCATTCTGCATTTGATTTATTTCGAATAATTATCAATGTTATATATCGGATCAATTTTTACATTTTGTAATTCGGTTGCTAAAATTGCTTTTCTATGGAATACTAATTCAAATGGTGAAAGTTTCTTATCAAATACAGAACTTGTTGTATTGTGCAAAAATGTGAAGTATTTCAAATAAACGTCCCAATCCGACCAAGTTTCATTTAAATAAGCGTGTAAATATTCATTAAAGACACGGTGGTTTCGTTCAATAGTACCAACTGTTTCGTGGTGATGTGCTGTCGGGAAATTGTGCTGTATTTTTAAAAGTTTGGTTAATTCGGAAAAAAGTTCATTTTTAAACTCGGTGCCCAAATCGGATTTTATAGTGTTCATAATGCCGTATGTTAAAAAAATTGCAGAAGGTATTGTTTTTGCGCTTTTATCCGGTGTGCCTATTGTTACTAAATATTTGCTTAAGTCGCATATAATGGTTACTGCGAACCTATTGCCATTAATGGACTCAGGCAAGTGCCCTATTGTGTCTATAACTACAACATCAAGGGGTTTGCAAGGCGTTGGGGTTAGTACCTACTAAATTTTCTTTCTTATTTATTTTTTTTTTTTGGCGCTGTAACCGGCTAAGCGATCGGGCCGAGTTCAGCAAAGCATGCCAGTCGTTTCTCCTCTGTGCCAACTGCCGCCAATTGGAAACGCCAAGTGAAGCCAAGTCCTTCTCCACCTGATCTTTCCATCGCAGTGGGGGCCTCCCTCTTCCTCTGCTACCAGCATCGGGTTCCGAGTTGAATACTTTCAGAGCTGGAGCGTCGGTGTCCATTCGAACGACATGACCAAGCCAGCGAAGCCGCTGTATTTTAACACGCAGCACTATGTCCATATCGTTGTAAAGCTCACACAGCTCATCGTTCTATCGTCTGCGGTACTCGCCGTCGCCAACGCGTAAAGGACCGTAAATCTTCCGCAAAATCTTTCTCTCAAACACCCCAAGAGCCGCCTCATCGGATGTTGTCATTGTCCATGCTTCTGCGCCATATACCAGCACGGGCATGATGAGTGACTTATAGAGCGTGGTTTTCGTACGTCGAGAGAGGACTTTACTCCTGAATTGCCTACTCAGTCCAAAGTAGCACTTGTTGGCAAGAGTGATTCTACGTTGGATTTCAATGCTGACATTATTATCGGTGTTAATGCTGGTTCCCAAGTAAACGAAATTCTCTACTTTCTCGAAATTGTAACTGTCAACAGTGACGTGGGTGCCAAGGCGCGAATGTGCTGACTGTTTGTTTGATGACAGGAGATACTTCGTCTTGTCCTCGTTTACCACCAGACCCATGCGCTTTGCTTCCCTATCCAACTTGGAAAAGGCAGAACAGACTTCGCGGTTTTTGTTAGCGATGATGTCGATGTCATCGGCATAAGCCAGCAATTGCACGCTCTTGTAGTAAATTGTTCCTGAGCGGTTCAGTTCTGCAGCTCTTATTATCTTCTCCAACATCAGATTAAAGAAGTCACATGAAAGGGAGTCGCCCTGTCTGAAACCCCGTTTTGTGGCGAACGGCTCGGAGAGGTCTTTTCCAATTCTGACGGAGCTGGTGGTATTGCTCAACGTCATTTTACACAGCCGTATGAGTTTTGAGGGGATGCCAAATTCAGACATAGCGGCGTATAGGCAACTCCTTTTAGTGCTGTCAAAAGCGGCTTTAAAGTCGACAAATAGGTGGTGAGTGTCGATCCTTTTCTCGCGGGTCTTTTCCAAGATTTGGCGTATTGTGAATACCTGGTCTATGGTGGATTTGCCAGGTCTAAAGCCACACTGATAAGGCCCAATCAGTTCATTGACGGTGGGCTTCAGTCTTTCACACAATACGCTCGATAAGACCTTGTAACCTATGCTTAGAAGGCTGATCCCGCGGTAGTTGGCGCGAATGGCGGGGTCACCTTTCTTGTGGATTGGGCAGAGCACACTTAAATTCCAGTCGTCGGGCATGCGTTCATCTGACCATATTCTGCACAAGAGTTGATGCATGCACCTTATCAACTCCTCGCCGCCGTACTTGAATAGCTCAGCTGGCAGGCTGTCAGCTCCAGCAGCTTTGTTGTTTTTCAGCCGCGTTATTGCTATACGTACCTCGTCATAGTCAGGCGGTGGAACGTCGACTCCGTCATCATCGACTGCGGGCTCGGGTTCTTCTTCTCCACAACTTTCCGTGCTGCTACCATTTAGTAGGGCGGAAAAGTGTTCCCTCCATAATTTAAGTACGCTCTGGACATCAGTTACTAGGTCGCCATTATTGTTCTTACAGGAGTGCGCCCCGGTCTTTAAACCTTCCGTAAGTCGCCTAACTCTCTGGTAAAATTTTCGGGCATTCCTCCTGTCGGCCAGCATTTCAAGCTCTTCGCACTCACGTATTTCTGCCTCTCTCTTCTTGTTGCGGCAAATACGTCTCGCTTCCCTCTTCAAATCCCTATAGCGGTCCCACATAGCGCGCGTTGCGCCCGATCGCAGCGTGGCCCTGTAGGCGGCATCTTTTTTCTCTGCAGCTTCCTGACACTCCTCATCGTACCAGTTGTTCTTTCGGGCTCGCTGAAATCCGACTACTTCTTCGGCGGCGGTACTTAATGAGCGGGAAATGTGGTTCCACTGCTCGCATATGTCGGTTTGTTGAAGAGTGCTCTCTGAGAGCAGGTGTGAGAGTCGAGTAGCGAAAGCGTTGGCTGTCTGTTGCGATTGCAGCTTTTCGAGGTTAAGCTTTCCTTGCATATTTGAGCGCACATTTTTTGCTGCACAGAGGCGGGTGCGTATCTTGGCTGCAACAAGATAGTTGTCCGAGTCGATGTTTGGGCCTCGGAGTGTGCGTACGTCTAAAACAATGGGTTTTACTTTATTTAATAAACATTTCTCACAGCTTTTTACAAATTTAGCAATATCGCGTGTCATATTTTTCCAATAGTATTTTGTACGTAATTTTGCATAGAGTTTTTTGTTTCCGCAATGTCCGCCTGATATCGGGTCGTTATGGTAAATTGTCATGAGTTTAATGGGTCGATTATGTATAGCAACGCAACTATGCTTCGGTTGGCAGCTTGCAACGCAACTGAAAAGAAAATTTGTATTACGAATGGCAACTATCGCCAGTTGCTGAAAAGTTATCGATTATTGAAATTTGACAGCTCGTCAACCAGCGCAGGATTGTAAACAAGCAAAATAATCGCAAAATAAAAGTGAAATAAAGTTATTAATATAGAGTTTTTAATAATAAGTCTTGCTACAATGCTTAGTTCAATAGAACTATTTTTTGAAGAGGAGGAGGAGTGTACGAACGCAGCATCAATCAGGCGACATTTAAGGGATAATTCCAATCCTTTAGAGCTGCCGCCGGCACTGTAAGTAAAAGTTAGGATACGTTTTAGTTATTTGTACAATGATTTTAAGTTGTGGTGTTCAAACGCGTCACCGGAATTTTAAAACTTTAACATATACGTGAGTCAAATGATGAAATTCTACTTTTTTGTAAATTTGTATGTGGGTTCTGCGCAAAAGTACTTTGGATGGCGTAGCCGGAATTATACGCACAAGAAATGTTGTATACCTTTGACAATAGAAGTTTGGACTGTGATCTTTGTAATGGGTGGGGTTTGAGATGCAACGGTCCCTCTCCCCCCGCTGCACACCACAAATTCATTGTACCAATAACTAAACATTTCCCAAAAGTTAACGCTTGGAAGACTTTTTATTGTGATTGTTTTTGATTTCAGATTTAAAGCATATTTCCGACTTCCAAAAGAAGCTGTATTATATTTGGTAAATACATTGAGGAATGACTTTAGGCGGAACCATCGTTCAACTGCAGTACCTCCGCTAATAAAAGTTTGCGGAGCTCTCCGATTTTTTGCAGAAGGAAGTTTTCTGAAGTCTCACGGCAATGACTTCAATTTGGGACTGGCGCAACCTACGATGTCGGTTGTTTTAAAAGAGATGCTTCAACTGATTGAGGAAAAAATTTGCAATCAATGGATTACTGCAAAAATGGCCGAGGAAGAGAAATACAAAAACAAGAACTTCTTTTACTCGAAAACGAAATTTCCTGGTGTTGTTGGATGTATAGATGGGACACATGTGCATATAATGTGACCGAAGGAGGATGTTCGCCACTTATATATGAACAGAAAAGGATATTTCAGTTTGAATGTTTTACTGGTGAGTTATCTTGTATGGTTATTTTGTACGACATTTCATTTTTGTTTTTTTGTAGATGTGCGATTACCAAATGCGGATACGGTATGTTGATGCTAGACATCAAGGATCTACTCATGATGCTTTTATTTGGAACAATAGTGATTTGAAACAAATGGTTGCTAATGATTTTGGTCCGAACACCTGGCTTCTAGGTTGTATTTCGTTAATAGTTATGAAACCTTTTGATGTAACCTTAAAATACCTAGGTGATTCTGGATTTCCATTAGAACCACATCTTTTGACCCCTTTTCGTTCAGCGGAACCTCAATCTCCTGAAGCAAAATACAATACAATCCATTCTAAAGCCCGAAATGTGATAGAGCGGACAAATGGCGTCCTTAAGTCTATATTTAGATGTCTTTCTGCTGAAAGGGGCCTGCACTATAAACCTGACAAAGCTGGGTCAATAATAAATGCATGTTGCGCGTTGTATAATATTGGTTTACACTATAAAGCAGACTGGGGAAGATCCGACAATCTCGCAGGAAGTTGCAAGTCCAAATGTAACCGAGAATGATAACACCGTAGCCTCTGATATAAGATATAATGTAATGCAATGTTTAAATTAATAAAATAATCTTTTAGTTGAATAAAGTATTTCATTTTAAATTCAATTTTATTAAAAGTAAACAACACATTTATATCTTTTTAGCGTTCTTCATGTTTATTCATTTTCAGCTATGAAATCAACCTTTTTCATTTCAACTTTTCATTCAGTTTTCCTTAAAAGTAACATATCACATATCGAAGGCTGAATAAAAGGTCGTCCTATCTCGGCAGCCAGTTCGAAAATGCCATATCTCAGAAAACTTCCTAATAACACTCTATTTCAGAATTTGATTGAAGAACGCCCTATTTCAGAATTTGAATCAAAAACGGCCTATCCCAATATATTTGCATATGAGATATGGCGTTTTTCAATCAAATCTGAGATAGGGCTTTATTGAAAACTTTTCTGCGATACGGCGATTTCGAACCGACTGCCGAGATAGGTCGATCTCCCACTCAGCCGTCGATAAAGTATACAAAATATATGTACCTAATTCTCTTTGGATTTAATAAAAAATACTATATCACAACAAAAAATACAAAATTCACTTTTCTTAAAACTAAAAAAAAATAGCAGTTCATTCAACTGATCTTAATAGTAAAAAATATTGGTATAAATAAAGGTAAAAAGCCTCAACTTAAATTGGAGATCTGTTTTTCTAAGAGCTCCAGTTTTTTTTGTTTAATTTTTTTATTCAAATGCTGCTCTTCAACAAGCATATGGTGTTATTTTTTTCAATTCATGCGCTTCCTTAAATATTTTTAATTTTTCCCTCTTAAAATCCCGTATATCTTTTAAGAGATCATTTCTTCTGGACAGCTTTCTTTCAATTTTGTCCAACTTATTAACAACCTCACCCTGGGTTCCTGTTTGTTGCTGGAGGAGGTCTAATCTGATATCTTGCGCCCTCTTTCTCCTGGGTAGTTGTACTGCTACAAGAGGCGTCACCGTTTCTTGCTGTGGTTGCTCAGTCTCTACCTCTAAAATTGTATTAATTTCCTCAATGTAGGCAATATTTTCAGTGTCCTGAGGCTGTTGGGGTAAAATCGCTCCGAATGTGGGACCTGGCGGATCGACCGAAATGGCCATTTGCATAAAGTCCGCTGCGGCCTGCTTCAGCGCGGACAAACTTATTTCATCAGATGGTCCGCCGCCGGTGATGGATATATTCCTCCTATTATGTGGCATTTTCTTTTTTAACTTGGCTTTAAAATGTATCCATACCCTCTGCCATTCTACGGATGTACGAGTTGGCGGTCCGTAACAATTTAATTTAGAAGAAATTTCCTTCCAAACATGCTCAGTATTTGCTTTTGTCTCGCCAAAAGCGCGTACACCACGAGCAATCGAAGGATTTTGCTCATATGTTGCGCCAAAATCTCAAACTGTTGTTTTGTAGTTATTTTCACCATCTTTTCTGCAAAAGCAAAATACATTCCAAAACTTTAGTAACGTTAAAACTGCTAAAAATTAAAATATTTTACTCACTTTTAAATATTCGCTTGTAAAACGCTCTTCTAACCTCCACAGCAACCCTGAAAATGCAGTTGCAAGTATACACACTTTGTGACAACTTCAGTTGACGGTTGAGAGTTGCCAGATGCCATCTATAATATTGTTTTGGCAACTGCCAACTCAACTGAAGTTCGGTTGATATCGATAGTCGACCCATAAGTTTCTTGTGTTCTTCAGTTATTGTTTCCACAGGGTCTGTTAGTATAATTTGTGAAGATTTTAAAACTTTGTTTCCGCTAATTTTTAAGTCTGTAATCGAAAATTGTTCAAAGAATGAATAACATTCCCTTTTCATCAGCGAGTGACGGTGGACGTGTTTTGGCGCATACACATAGTTATTTTGAGGATCAAATTTTTCTGCGCATTTGCACATTTGAATGTGCTTTACCTAAAACTTTTTCTTTTTGAAGTGAACATAAAAGCAAATACTACAGCAAATTGTATTTGATCGTTTGTTTCTCCGTTTGAGACCGCCTTTCGGTCAACTTTGGCTTTTAAAGAACACCTTCCCTGTCGTGATAAGGATAGCAGGTGAGTGGTTTTGCAAGTTTTATTATGAGTTGTGACATTTTTTGGTGAACTATTCCTGTGCGTTGGTTTTTAATTAAAAGTAAGCCTGCCGCGTACGGCAGCAAAAAACACCAAAGCCGCTATGGCGTCCTCGTCGTCGAGGGCGTCATCGGCTGACGAGTTCGAAGCCTTTGCGGGTGCCAATTTGGCCACGGGCAAACGGGCTAGAAAGAGTGCGGAACCCCATTTAATTAAAAAAATGTTAAAATCCCAAAAGCTGTGCAAGTCAATCTTGACTCAGGTGTAATCAGTGAGGTTAGGGACGAAAAATCTAGCGAAATAAGTGAAATGAGTGTAGATGTACAACTAGATAACGGGACAGGTATGAATACCGATAGCCCGCTATTGGAGTTGACTAACGGACCGCAAGTAGACACAGTGGTGGCGAACAGCGTTAGCACAAATACCAATAATGACACGACACTGTACCCAGCAAGCTTTTCTGGTGTGTATCTCGTATAAGTTGACTCGTCACAATGTGGTGACATGAATAACGAAAGAATCACTAACGGTTTAACTCTTTTTGACAAAATCAAAGTCTTCAGGATCAAAGACATTGATTTAATTTATGCCATTGGCAAAAGCCTCTATAAAATAACCTTCAAAAATGCAGCGTCAGCTAATAACTTTGTACTTAACGACAAAGTCAAATCTCTGGGTTTAAGAGCTTTTGTACCCAAGACTGCAGTTGAGACGTACGGAGTAGTGAGGGGCATTCCGACTTGGTATCAGGAGGCAGAGATAAAGGCTAATGCCATCTCTACCGTCCCCATCGCCACAGTCAGGCGCTTCACGCGCAAAAGCCAGGACAGTGACTCATACATTCCAACAACTACCATAAAAATCGGCTTCTCGGGTAAAGAAATCCCAAAATTCATAATCTTCGATTATACCAAATTATATATTGACTTTTACATTCCCCCGCTAAGGCAATGTCTCAACTGTGGCAGATTGGATCATACACAATATGCCTGCAAATCTAAGAAACGTTGCATTAAGTGTGGTCTCACATCATGTGACGAAAATTCTTGCAAAAAAAGTGTATTTTATGCGGCAGCTCAGACCACGTCTCCACAGATAAGCTCACTTGCGCGGCTTGGGAAAAGGAGCGCACCATTAACCATATTAGAACCGNGTATCTCGTATAAGTTGACTCGTCACAATGTGGTGACATGAATAACGAAAGAATCACTAACGGTTTAACTCTTTTTGACAAAATCAAAGTCTTCAGGATCAAAGACATTGATTTAATTTATGCCATTGGCAAAAGCCTCTATAAAATAACCTTCAAAAATGCAGCGTCAGCTAATAACTTTGTACTTAACGACAAAGTCAAATCTCTGGGTTTAAGAGCTTTTGTACCCAAGACTGCAGTTGAGACGTACGGAGTAGTGAGGGGCATTCCGACTTGGTATCAGGAGGCAGAGATAAAGGCTAATGCCATCTCTACCGTCCCCATCGCCACAGTCAGGCGCTTCACGCGCAAAAGCCAGGACAGTGACTCATACATTCCAACAACTACCATAAAAATCGGCTTCTCGGGTAAAGAAATCCCAAAATTCATAATCTTCGATTATACCAAATTATATATTGACTTTTACATTCCCCCGCTAAGGCAATGTCTCAACTGTGGCAGATTGGATCATACACAATATGCCTGCAAATCTAAGAAACGTTGCATTAAGTGTGGTCTCACATCATGTGACGAAAATTCTTGCAAAAAAAGTGTATTTTATGCGGCAGCTCAGACCACGTCTCCACAGATAAGCTCACTTGCGCGGCTTGGGAAAAGGAGCGCACCATTAACCATATTAGAACCGTTAAAAACATATCAAGACGCGAAACAATCAAAACTTACTTTGCGGCCAGTGAAAATCGTTTCGAACTTCTCGAAGTGGAGGACTCAGACTTTCCACCACTCCCGTCTGAAAACGGAAACATCCAAAACAGAGACATTAACGTTAACAAAAAACTTCCACAGTCCTAGAAAGTACAAAGCAGTCCCAATGCAGCCTGCCACTAGGGAGAGTAGGGTAAGACCACCCAGAGATTCTGTGCTAGAAAAGCCAGAATACTTGAAAGGACGGGTAACTGAAATGGAAAAACTCTTGTCAGAATTGTTCAAGTTAATTAATAGTGCATGCGCCAATGAGCACATGCAAGGAGTCCTAGGGAAGGTTCTAGCCCTAAAGCAACAATTTGAGCGTAATTCGATACAAAACGAGGTTGACATGATCAGTATGGGTACAGACATCCCCCCTCAACTATAACATATGAAAATTTGCCAATCTGCCAATCACTTAAAGCTAACATCAACAACTTTGAATACTATTTAAATCATTATAACATAGCATGTCTCAGTCAAATATTCACCTCCAGCGAGCAACAACGCAGAAACATTATCAACTACAACATTATCGAAAAAAACCGAGAAGATGGATATAGCGGCGTCGCCATAGTCCTTAAAAAACAAATTACATTTCAAAAATTAAATTTCTTATCTAACTTTGACATACTGATCATCAAAACCAAAAACCTTAATCCAAACCTAATTATCTTTGCAGTTTACTTTCCACAGAACATCCTAATAAATGACTTTAAGAGCGAAATTCAGAGACTCCTTACATATCTTGAGCAGTTTAGCAATGTTCTTATTCTGGGAGATTTCAACGCTAGGGCGAGAGCATGGGGTGACCACATCCAATCTTGTCGAGGAAATAACCTGCATAGAATTATTCTAGAACATAATTTCTGGCATTTAAATGACGGTTCGTCGACATTCAAAAATAACATGCTGGCTCCTAATGGGTCAGTGCTTGACTTGTCATTTACAAATAGTAACATTCAATTTGTCTGGAAGGTCGACCCAATCAGGCTAGGAGGAAGTCACCATTTCCCCATTCTCATTGAGTCCACTGCGGTCACGCATCAGGGACGCAGGTTCCTATCCCAAAAAAAGCTATTTGCCAATCTACAACTAACCAATTTTGATCCAAACTTTAACGACATACATAATCAGTTCGGAACAGAAATTGAGGCTGCCACATATACGCTCAGTGCCAACAGATCCCCGAAAGCTTGGTGGGATGAGTCTTTTGACAAGGCCTTCCGCTTTCTTAAAATTGCGTCTAAAAAGTGCAAAGCTGCACCTGAAAATTTTGAAGAACTGATCAAGCTCAAAGCAGAGTGGAAAGACAAAGTTAAAATAGCAAAAAAGAAAAGCTTTGAAAATAAGGTAGACGAACTGAACGCTGCTCCCTCAACTAGAAATGCATGGAAATTCGTGAAAGCACTAAGAGGCGACTTTAAAAACACAAACAACTCGCAGTGGTCTAGCGACAACTACAAGAACTTCTTAGCCCTACTCAAAGCCAAGTCCCCTCTCACAACTCCCATTTACCAATTGATAAAGAACTAACTCCCACCCACGCCCTAGCAATCACCTTTTAATAGTTCAGCCGGAGGGGTAGACCTAGTTACATATAAAATGTTAAAAGCTCTACCAGATGTCTCACTTAACAACTTGCGAACTGCATTAAACGATGTTTTCCTGACAAATGGTCGGCCGGTTTTAAACTACGCAGCACCAGTGTGGTCGCCGGGGACTAGTAGGACGCAGTGGATGAAGCTACAGGCGACACAAAACACCGCACATAGGACAGCTACTGGATGCCTCCTGATGTCGAAAGGAAAACCACCTGCATGACGAGGCGAAAATGCTCCCAGTCAAGGAGCATAACATAATGCTCTGCAAGCAGTTTCTGGTTGGGAGCGACAGATGTGGCCACCCAAACAGTCAGCTTCTTGCAGAGGAGCCCTCGCCGGGGCACGTAAGCAGGCATCTCTACGAGCTGACGGACGAAGTCCATAGGTTCATTAAGCAGCCTCTGGTCCCGTCAGCATAGACAGGCCCTGAACGGCATTCACAGGGAGTCAGTCTCGAGTTATGCAGGCTCCAGATCTGTGCATGCCGTTCTAGGCACACAACCACCGGACATTGACGCGGCGTAGCTTCATCTGCCTCAGGAGACAAGAACCACAATAGCCCAGCTTCGCTCTGGTTACTGCAACAGGTTAAACTCATACCTGAGCTATACGCCGATGTGCCAAATGAGTGTCTGGCATGCGGAGAGACGGAAAACGGGACAACCCTAACGGCTTTGTCCCTGTGGACCGACCCTATGAAGGATGCACGCTTCTTAGGGCTGCCGTTAGTGGAACTTGACGACAACGACTGAGATATTAACCGATCTGGGCGGGGTTGTTGTAGCCCCTACAACAACAACAACAACAACAACTAACACCCCCTTCCAATAAGTTTCCCTAGTTACACGAGGACTAGTTCAACTGTAACGGACTTCAGAGAAGGATCGAGGAGATAACAGTCTTCATGGGTCGGCTCGGAATATTAATAGCTGCGGTCCAAGAGGCGAAGCTGCACGGCAATTCAACACTGTTGATTTACGCCTGATACAACGTGCACCGTCGAGATCGGGAGCGTTCATCACGCTGCACACCGTGCAGTATCGTCTTATCGAAGCAGACATCAACCGCAGGGATACCTTTCTAGAATGTTCCCGACATTGCTATCCGGTCAGGCGATGTCGAACTCGAAATATTTAACGAATATACCCCCTGCCACCAGCTGCCCGGCGGGATATCACCCTGAAATAGGTGCGCTCCTCGGAGGTCAAAACCATATGGTAGTTGGTGACTTCAATGCGCACCACGATTTTTGGCATTCAAGCCTGTCAAACGATCGTAGGGAACACAGTTTGCTGAGCAGTAGACGATTCGACATTCTGCACAATGAACGACGACGCACGCACCAGGATTATGGTCAACTGCTGCAACTCGCCAGACCTAACAATAGTCAGCTGATTGGAAAGGCTTTGCAGATGTTACTGAAAGCGCCTTCGCTGCACAACACATACCAACCGACGTTCATGTAGGTGAACGTAAATTCCGCAGGGTTGTTACTGCGGCTACAACCCGCAGAAATGTGAAGAGCATCAGAAGACCTGTAACTTCTCCTCTGGTGTGAGTAAGCTTTGGTCAACCGTGAGGTTATTGTCCAACCCGACGAAGGGTGACGACAGAGTTGAAATAGACTTGGTGAACACGCTTCGTCGGACCCGGAGCGATGCAAGAGCTAATTTAGCCGGAAGTTCATATTGCATCCTCCGGTGGACAAAGCCAAACTTTGAGTGACCAGAAGGCTGCACAAACTGCCAAAACCTAGTGCACCTCTTGTTTTCACCAGCCGTGAGATAAGGGTAGTCATCGGGAAGGCTAAAGCCGCCATTGGACCCGACGGAATATGTATGTTGATACTGAAAATTTTGCTTAACGCCATAAATACCCAGATAACTCGTGGCCTAAACCGAAAGCCTTATGACTCTGAACAACTTTTACGAACAAAAATTGAGAATGACAGACGAAACGCCACTTTACATAAAAAACTAAAGATTGCCATATTCACAACGCG